CCCACCCGCCGCTCCACCAGCGAGTAGGACACCCGCGCGTTCTCCTGCGCGTCCGCGTCCCGCGCAGACACCGTGAAGATGTGGCAGCCGGGCGGGTTGTTCTCCTTCACGAACACCGTGTACTCGGGCTGCGCGAACGCCGGCGCGTTGTCGTTCACGTCGGCCACCTCCACGGACACGCTGGCGGTGGCCGACAGCGAAGGCGATCCCCCGTCCCGCGCTATCACCACCAGCTCATAATTCGCCGCTTTCTCGCAGTCCAAAGCGCTGTCCAATACCAGTGAATAGTAATTCTTGAAAGTGGACACCAGCTTGAAGGGGACATGGGGTGTTACTGAGCAGGTCACCTGCCCGTTGGCGCCAGAGTCAAGGTCGGACACGCTGATCAAGGCGATGACGGTGCCCACCTGAGCATCCTCTCGCACAGGGAGCGACAGCGAAGTGACCATTACCTCAGGGGCATTGTCGTTCAGGTCCAGAACTTCCACCAGGACTGTGCAGTGACCTGCCATGGAAGGGATCCCTTTATCAATGGCATTAACCTGAATTTCATACTCACTATTCTCTTCAAAATCCAGTTTCCCATAAACTCTTATTTCACCTGTTTCTGGATTTATTGAAAACATACACTTCTCACTCACTGGCAAAATCATTCTGATTCCATAGGAAATTTCTCTATTCAGTCCTTCGTCTAGATCAGAAGCTTTTAGTTGAATCACTCTCGTGTCGTTTGGGACATTTTCAAACAGCGCTACTTTATAGCCAGGCTTATCAAACTCCGGAGCGTTGTCATTCACATCCAGGATGGTTATTTGAATCTGAACAGATCCTGTTAGCTCGGGTTTACCGCCATCCAGGGCGGTCAGCAATAAGTTAAGTTCTGGCGTTTCCTCTCTATCTAATGACTTCCGAAGAACCAGTTCAGGCAATACACTTTTATCGTTTTTCGTTGTTATTTTAAGAGTAAAATATTCATTTAGGCTTAACCTATAGGCCAGAAGAGAATTTACGCCGATATCCGCATCGGAAGCGCCCTCTAGAGGAAAATGAGATTCCAAAGGTGCAGATTCAGAAATAAATACCGTTTGTTCTCCTTCTCTGAACACCGGCGGGTTGTCGTTAATGTCCCTCACCTCCACCTCCACATGAAAAACCTGCAGCGGCCTGTCCACAATCACCTCCAGGTGGATGCTGCACTCCGCGCTCCGCCCGCACAGCTCCTCGCGGTCGATCCGAGAATTCACAAACAAAATGCCATTCTGCAGATTTACCTCCAGAAGGTCCCCGCGGCCTTTGGACGCCACCCGGAACAGGCGCGGCACCAGCTCCGCCAGCTCCAGCCCCAGGTCCTGCGCCATGCGGCCCACGAAGGTGCCGTGTTTGGCCTCCTCGGAGACGGAGTAGTGGACCTGGCCGCTCCCCGCCTCCCCTGCTGCGAGGAGCAGAAGCGACAACAGCAGTCGCCGGGCTCCAGGACCTCCTGACCAGGGAAACACCATCGCAGATAACGAGATCTCTGAGGTAGGACTGTCAATTTCAAGTGATCGCTGGCCTGATAACCTTTATGAGGAGTCTCCCTTTGCCTGTATGTATATATTTAGTAAATTTTACCCAGCATTCCGGTAAATATGAAGTCCATCCTATTCTGTGAATGGTTGGAACCTGGGCGCGGAGACAAAATTTTCCTTTTTCGCCTTTTAAGTGTACAGCGACATCATGTGACTGATTATGTAAGTACAAGACAGATCCTGAGGTTCTTCTTGGTTTAGTCACTTCCCGGGTCACTGTAAATTGTTTCAATTTTTGGACATTTTCATGGATCATTCGTAAATGCCTATTTGTTTAATACATATGGTATTAGTACCAGTGCACAAATACTTCTATTACACCGCAGTTTTTAAAAATATTCTGCCTCAAAGTCTATCATAAAATAATCATTGAAATACAGTATGTCAGAAGCTACTCTTTAGCTATTATGGAACATAAAGAATAATGTACACGACTTCTGCCCTTATATTGCCTACAATTCACACTTTTAATGACTTTTATCCCTCATAAGCACTCCATTGTAGGACTTTAAGAGAAAGTCAAGAATTCCCTCATTTAGTAAAGGAAAATAAACTAAAACACTTCTCTTAACTAAATATTTCATTCATATAAATTATTTTATCCATAAATTTGATGAATATTAAAATTCATCATAAATATGGAAGATGTCATTGTTTTTGGTTCCTTGATGCTCAAATGTGATGACTTTTCATACAACTGCTCTCATTCCCATAACATGTTAAAATGAGGCTTGAGTATAGATTCTGGAAAGTTTTACTCTACCAGGGGTAAAGTGTTTTCATGTAAAATGTTGAGTCAAAGCCTCCAAATTTCACAATATGCTAAAGTGGCAGTGGAGCACTAATATGAAAAAGATCTTGTGAAATGTTTTGGAGCCCCATCTCATTGACTAAAGTCAAAAGAATATGAATTTCATAATGATCTTTTGGTTTCCCTCTAAATCTTTCCCTTCAGGCCAGTTAGTAGTTCCTCAGAATATGTTTCTCTTCAGAAAATCAGAATGGTGACTATGATGCAAGGGAGAATCAAAAGATTTTTCATAATTTTATTCATTAATTCAAGACCAGCTTTAAGGGAAAACAAAACACAGATAAGATCCCACAGCTAGTTGTGAACAAGTAAATATAGATTTTATAAGCTTATTAAAATTCAAGTCAAAGGGGCCAGCCTGGTGGCAAAGCGGTTAAAGTTCTCGAGTTCAGCCTCGGCAGCCCAGGGTTCGATGGTTCGAATCCGGGCCACAGACCTACTCACCGCTCATCAAGCTATGCTGTGGCAGCATCCCACATAGAAGAACTAGAAGGACCTACAACCAGGATATACAACTATGTACTGGGGCTTTGGGGAGAAAAGAAAAAGAGGAATATTGGCAACAGATGTTAGCTCAGGGCCAATCTTCCTCAAAAATAAAAGAAAACAAAAGAAAATTCAAGTCAAAATCTTTAAACCAATAATTTGTTACCATTTCTTTTACATATAATAATAAAGGGAACTGAGATACGAAATCTTTACAGAACAAGAAAATAATAGCCAAGAATTGTTCTACAAGTATAAGATAACTTAAATCAACTATAAAACTGGCTTTTAATTAATCAAAAACACATTTGAGTTTTTGTGTTATCAGACTATTTAAATAGTCTAATATCACCACCAAGCTTCTTCATTTTCCATCTTCCATTTTCAAAAATAGTCAATGTACCATAATTGCTACGGAACTTTATAGGAAAAGTAACGTGTTATGTAGTCCTCACACACTATTAGACATAATTAAATTATTATAAAGATAGGAACATCTAAATTTAACTTAATATTTAAATAATCCAACTAGAAAATATGTTGAAATTATTATTTTACACCATAGAATGAAATCCTTAATTAAGAATAAGTTAAAAAGACACTAAATTTGTAGAAATTAGTCCATGTAATTTGAAAGTATCTAAAATGTGCATTGATTACTTAAGAACTGTAAAAGTAATGATTTGCAAAATTTTAACCCGTACTTAAAAAATTCCAATATCATTGTTTATTAAATTTAAATAACCTTGAATCATTCCAAGAAGTTCATTTGGAGATAAGTAATAATGTGTGCCCTACCTAACATTCACGTTTATTATATTTACAAAGTTTCATAAATGATGTCATGGTTTAATCACTTTCGAGTCTGAAATATTTTCTCTTTTAATCTCATTGCCTACTTTGGAATAAAGAATATTTTTAGCCAATTAATATTGAGGTACAAAGGTTCATGACCAAAGGTCCGAGAATGGGTTTCAGCATGGAGTCCTTGAATATTATGCCAAATGGTAAGCTGTGTAATTTTAAGAGGAGAATGGCCACATATGACATGCATCAGATTCTCAAAAGGGTTAACGATTCTGCCACTGTACATGCAGCTAAGAATCAGTGAATTAGAAGAACGACCTAGAGGTAAATGATCTTTGCTAGAATCTTCAGATATGATTACACAACATGGAAAGAAAATTTCACAAACACTAGAGATAAAGCATTTAAAGATAGAAAATTTAAAATGAGAGATGAACGAAACTGATAATTGTCAATAGGCTTCACTTTAGTACAGTAAACTTTTTCCTTTCTAGATGAATCCACAAAACTTAGGAAAGAATGCCAACTAGCATATATTGCAGATATAAACCTATATGCAAGTCTTTGGCAAGTCTAAATGACTTGATTGAGTAATATGAATAACTTTATTTGCCTACTTTACTTTGGAAGCATAAATCTGGGAGTTCTGTTTGAGTATGTAGTAGATAAATCTCTAGCCATTTCATGGAACAAAATAAAAAGTGGACAGAATTTTAGTCGTATTATTTCAATGAAAGCAGTATACTTGAAGGCCAGACTGCATTTTTTACGGCAAATAACGTGAAAACAGGTTTAATCTTATCAGTAGAGGCAAAACTAAAGATTATTTAATGGATAATAAATGTATGATGGATGTTTAGCACCATAGAAAAAGAAAGGTAAATCCTTTTCAGACCTAATGAAGAGAGTGTTCAATATTTGATACAAGCCTGAAGCGAGAAAAGTCAAGTGATCTAATAATGTGAAAATATCAAGGCAAAAGGCCGTTAAAAGACACAAAGTGTGAGTAAATTTAAATAACCCATAGTGATTATCTACATTACTGAGGATTAGAGATGAAATGAAGTGACATGGGTAGATCAGTGAAAATTAGAAATTATTTCTAATAAAGTGATGACAAGAGAATCATTCTTCCATCTTTTAACAGTTTCTAACGCAACATTAGGAGAAATGCGACACTTATTGGCTAGAAAACCTGATTCCCCATATGATTAAAATTGGATGTGTGTATCATTTGGCATTTCACTAACAGACGTTGGTCTTTAATACTCAAAATATAGAGTTAAATTTTAAACATTAAAATTTTCTATGAAATTAACTGGATTTTAAAACATTTAACGTAGACTTCAAAAGAGGGAGAATCTATAGAACTCACCTGCCCAGGGTGATTTGATCCCACCTCCTGCCCTTCCTCTCGGACTTCACTATCCAGACCAGGAGGAAGGCTGGGACTGAAGGCCATGAGGTCTGTCTTGGGCGGCCCCTCCCCAGAACACACCCTAGGCCGCCTCTGCTGTGAGTAAGACCAGCTCCCCACTGCGCTGGAGCACACCAACCTAGGCTTCCCCTGCTCACATGCGCCCTCGGTGGGCGGCGCCGAGCACCGCAGCGCCGTGTACAGCAGTAGCGTCAGCACCAACAGGCTGGACACAGCGCAGATGGCGATGATCAGATACACGTTGACATCCACCAGCGCCGTCTCCGTGCCGGCGGAGCCCTTCGACGCCCGCGACGAGGCCTTCGGCGCCTGGCCGCTCTCCACCAGCGACAGCAGCACGGTGGCCGTGGCCGTCAGCGCCGGCTCGCCGTGGTCCTTCACCAGCACCAGCAGGCGCTGGCGCGGCAAGTCCGCCTCGTCCAGGGCGCGAGTCGTGCTGATCTCGCCCGTGTACAGCCCCACG